TGGGTAGGTGAAAGAGTACACTTGGTCCTTTTCCAGACCAACAAACAGGTGTTCATCGAACAAGATTTAGATACAGGAAATTCGTATTTCAGCAACGGGAATTTGGCAACATCTGAAAGTTCATATCACGTTCTTCCTCTGCGGGCTGATTATTGAAATTGCAATCGACAAAGCAATTGACAGAGAGGTCGAAGGGAAACTGGAGCGATCCTAATGTTGGAAGCAGGTGGTTGCAATGGACGAAGGAGGTAAGTCGTAATAGATCAACTAATGGCATCACACGAGGGACCCTCTACTTACTTGGTCCATTCCTTTCTCCCTTAATCTACAACAAGCATCCGTTCCAACCAATGAGATTGCTCCATTTTCCGTCTGTCTTCTTTGTCTATACATTTCACTGATCAGCCCGAAGCTAAAACTGCGTGGTGAGGAAAGAGGAAAACAAACGGAGAACGAGAGGAGAAGAAAACCCGCTCGGTAAAATACTTCAGCTGCATGTGTTAACAGGTGCACATGCATGCCAAACTGAAGCATGAGAGTTTATCATTTGCACCATCATTGTTGATGTTTGATAAATCTGCGAACTTTTTCTCGCAGTTCCACCGTGAATACTGAGTGGTGCGAAGGAAGTGTTTCACCTACGATTAAAACGTGTTTGATACCAGAAATTCTCGACGAGTCCCAGCTGAGGCTCAGCACACACACTCGTACAGCACTGCCGTGCTAGGGAAGAACGCCATATGAACATTCGGGAATTGCCAAATTTTCTCCGATAAAATTTCCTTTTAGGGGAAAATTGTCGATATTTTTCCTTGAAATTTTCAGACTTTTTAGATCAAATTACAAGCGAAATTACCTGAGAAATTTGAAGAAGAATATTTACAAATTTTTTTGAAAATTAGTGATTTGTCAAAGGAAATTTTTCAACGCCTGAAGGCTCATACGGCGTTTTCCTTAGCACGGCAGAGCAACTCACGAATCGATGGCTCGAATTTCAAACAAGATTGGACGCATTCATACAAAAGAAATCTAGCATGGTGCGATAATTTCATATCGCACTCTTATTTTAAGCTTCACCTGGGAAAAAAGTCTCTTGTATCCAGAGTTCAGACTCTTAAAAAATTTAATTTGACAAGAAAAAAAAACCATTCTCTCTATCGGAGTTTTGCGCAAATCATAAGGAAATCCGCTTAAACTAAGAGGTTCGGCTCTCGATTCAAGCAAAAATCCAATTGAATCAAGCGTCTTCTTCCTTGAATTTTTCAAGATTCTTGACTCCGGATCCAAGAGACTTTTTTTCCGGTGTTCTATTTTGATCGTGGCAACATACTGCCGTGCTAAAGGAGAACGTCGTATGAACATTCGAGTTTTGCCAAATTTCCTTCCACAAAATGTTCATTTTTGAGGAAAGTTATGAATATTTTCCTTTTACATTTTCAGAATTTTTAGGTGAAATTGCAAACAAAATTATTTGAAAAATCGGGAGGAAAATATTCATAAATTTACCAGAAAGTTCGCGTTTTATCAAAGGAAATTTGGCAACGCCTAAAGGTTCATACGGCGTTTTTCCCTAGCACGACAGCGTAGCTCATGAATGGTGCGACTTGCAAAGTCGCTGACCCGCTTTCCACGAGAGCTCCAATGTGCGTTTCGGGATTCCATCGATTGTGCAGCCTGTCTTATCGCATTAACGAGAAATCGGTCAAATCTGGCTTTGACGTTGACGTCCCGAAGCCGATGAGCCTACGTCGATACTACGCCACGTCTGAACGCCTTAATTCACCGACTTTCCGCTTGTTAACGCTTTGATGTGACGGTTCACCACAAGTATTTACCAGGTCGAGGTTACTGATCATTCTTCGTGTTCAAAGTCTCGATTCGTTCTGACGGCGGTTCTGGCGGGTCTTAAACAAACAGCTCGCGGCCACGTAGCTTTCCTCGTCGATTAACAATGTAGACCACTAGACATAAGATAAGAATTAGAGAACTGAAGGCTGATTACTAAAATTGATAGACAAAACGATAACAAATAAGGCCGAGGAAAAATAAGCGATCCTATCGGTTAGAAGTAGGTGGTCGTCATAGACTACGGGGGAAAATGATGGACGAACTATGGCGTGCCCATAAGTAAGTCTACTACTACCTCCTTTGACCATCGCAATCATCCGCTTCCACCAATAGGATCGCTCCATTTGCACTTTGTCTTCTTTGTCTATCAATTTTGATAATCAGCCCACTGATGGACATGTTCCAACATGAAAATCTCATATCGAAGACGTTTGTTTAATAGCATTTTACATAGTTTTATGTTTTAAAAAAGCACATGAGAGGAAATCAGGCACCGTAAAATACAGTTATGCTAATGGGCCTGTTGCAAACTTTTGCTAGAGCAGAATGAGGAGTTGTTTCCTATAGATAATGCCTCAAAAATCACGATGAGCGCATCGGTAAAGTCTGAAATGCACTCATAAATTCACAATCTGCGTAAGAAATTTGCGTTATTTTGAGCTTCCCGCTTCAAAGACGATACTACTGCACAGGTGAACATTTTGTTAGAGGAGTCGCTCCATCGTCGGCAATATTCATCATGGCCGACGCTTGCGCAGTTCCTCGCGTAATTCGAGGAGAGTTCAAGGTCAATTAAGGCGGGCGAGGAAAATATGAACGTAAACACGCCGATTGTTATCTGCTTTAAGCCTGTTCAGGTGTTATCTCGTCCCATCACACGTGTTTTGGCGGACTGGCGTCGGCCATGATGCGTATTGCCGCCAATGAAACGACTCCTCTAACAAGATTTTCACCTGTACCGTAGTATCGTTTTCGAAGCGGGAAGCTCAAAAAACCGCAAATTTCTTACGTAGATTGTGAAATTATGAGTGCATTTCAGACTTTGCCGATGCGCTCATCGTGATTTTTGAGGCATTATCTGTAAGAAACAACTCTTAGTTTCGCTCTAGCAAAAGTTTGCAACAGGCCCATTCTGCATTAAGTCCACCCACAAGAGATTCGACAAGAGAACATTTAAAAATTATTTCGATCATGCTCGCTTCTACCCCAGTGTGTCTCCGTGCTATCTGAGAGGATATTTAAATCTTGGAGGAATTATATCGGGGTGCAACGTCGCTTCGGGAACGACCCTTTTTCGGTCGATTGAACGACGTAAATATTCAAAGCTTATCGACGCAGTCGATTGATGACAGAGGCTCTAACCCTTCTCGCTCGCTCCACCGTGAAGATGATAATCCCTCCGTGGATGCTCCCAACCACACCGAATCGTCAGAGGAAATCTGATTTTCTCGTGGTTGTCAGTTCGCCGAGTCAAACTAAAATTTGTCGATTTAAACAATCCAAAAAGTTAATTTCTGAAAGTCTATCTTGCATGAGTAGGGGCCGTCCCTAACTTACGTAACGCAATTTTTCGGCATTTTGGACCCCCTACCCTTGTAACGCTTTTGTGACGTAGGTCCCTATCCTTTAACATGTAAAAACAAAATGGCGTAACGCTCTTCTCTCCACCCCCCCCCCNTCAGAACGCTACATAATTTAGGGACGACCCTTTATTGAAGAGCGGGGGATTCGTTGTTCCGCTCAGATGCTGCTACTACTATTCTGCCGTGCTAAGGAAAAACGCGTATGAGCCATCAGGCGTTTCCAAATTTCCTTCTACAAATTACGAATTTTCAGGAAAATCTGTGGATATTTCTCCTCCAATTTTTCACAGGATTTTGTTCGAAGTTTGATGTCAAAATTCTGAAAATTTCAAGGAAAAATATTCATAACATTTCTCATAAGTAAACATTTTATCGAAGGAAATTTGGCAACTCTCGAATGTTCATAAGGCGTTCTTCCTTGGCTCGGCAGTGTTCTATCTTCATTTTTTTACTTACGATCAGTGAAGCTTCTTTTGTAACACGGGAGTGTTCTCTATGAAAAGACTCCTCAATGCATCAGAGATCAGAATGCACACTAAGTTTCTTCGACGATGCGACAACGTTGCTCGGATTTGGTTGATTAACGAAAGTTCAAGCAATTGGTCGGGAGCGACGGAATGCACGTTAGGGATCGAAATGCCCGGCACCGATAATGTCTAATGAGTCGTAAGAAACGGAGCCTCACGCTTCGGGAGGAAAAGTGCATTCCTTTTCGGCTTTAAGTCATAACTCACAAGAGGTGACCCCGACCTTCGACCCTCCCACCAATCTGCCACCATTCCGAGCATCTAAGCTCCCATCAGGGAACGTCGCGCCGCGGCCGTCGCGTCGTAACGAGACGTCGGATTTATGCGGGCGCTGCATCCTCTTGTGAGCTTCCGTTGCCGAATAGCCCCTTCGAATCGGGACGATACTAATCCTGAATACTTAAAAATATCGGAGGGATCCATTTGCAAGAATCAACATTTCATTCAACGTAAATGAAGGTGGTTGAAATCAGACAGAGGCCTTGAAATGATTGAAAATACTGATTTCTTTGCTTGTAGCATTATGCTACATTTCGGCAACATTTCCTACATTGCTACATATTGTAGCATTTCGGATTTATGCGGGTGCTGCATCCTCTTATAAGCTTCCGTTGCCGAATAGCCCCTTCAAATCGGGACGATACTACTCCTGAATACTTAAAAAAATCGGAGGGGTCCATTTGCAAGTATCAACATTTTATTCAACAAAAAATGACGGTAGTTTAAATCTGAAGCCTTGAAATAATTGTAAATACAGTCGCCTTTGCTTGTAGCTTACTGTACCTAACTGTACTGGAAGTACGAAGTTAGATGTGCTTAGTCAGTTTTGAACAAATTTTGTTCGTTAAATTCGAAACTTCTCAACAAAGACTCCTAACGAGGAGATGTTAGCAACAACCTCCTCCTGGGCAAGGTCGCCGTCTTATTCTGGGTTCTAAGAGATTCCATGGGGCCTGGGGTTCATATTCTTTGAGAGGGCACTCTGGTTGAATAGGGGTTCTAAGGTTTCACAAGGGTCATTAGACGAAAAAGCACAAGAAGATTCTTGATGAAATATACTTGTAATAACATTCTTCTTCGTCTTACACAATGGTAAAATGGTATGACGGTATCTACGGTAACAAGATCATTACAGAAGGGCGGATGGAACCCTTGGACATCAATCCCGTCCTTCCCTCAAACCGATGATTTTGTGTTTCAGGACTTCGACAGGTCGAATTCGTTCGAACCAATAAAGGTACTGATTGAACTCCTCCCAGTTGATGTAGCATCTGCATCTTTTGAACAAATCGCAGACTCCCGTTGCCCAATACTGGCCGCACGACATGCAATAGCCGTGCTTTTCTTGACAGGCGCTCTTACACGCCTCTTTCTCTTCGTCCGACGAAAAGATACTCTTGCAGATGTCGTGCAAATCATCCCCTGAAACCGGACAAACATTATGGCTTACAACTGTTTGATTTTTTTGCACGGGTTCTTCAATTTCATCCCTCCCTGGATATCATTATTCAATTGGTCAGTCGCCCTACTCACATAATTGTGTTTTGATGTTTTAAGCTCATATTAGTAGAAATTAAACGAAATTTGCGTAAACATCTTTCTACGTCCAATATCAACGGGGATGTCGTCCGTCGAAAAGCACGGATTATGATCATCCACCCTGTTAGTACATATCATGGTTTCTTCCACCTTGGATTTATCCGTATTATATGCCGAGTAACCGAAGCAAATATGTGCATTGTGCATCACTGATTGTTCGAACCAAGGTGGAAGAAATCATGATATGAACCACCGTTGTGGATGAGTTCATACCCCGTGTTACTCAATGAATGACATCTCCGTTGGTATTAGACGCACAGAAACTTGGCGTTTGGACGGGTCTTATTAATTTTTGCTGATCTGAAAGCATCAACCATCATACCGCAATAATTCTGTCAACAAGGGAACTGACCTATTGAATGAAATCCATTTTCATGCGGAAAATCGGGATTGAATGTCTTGCTTCGAATATCGTCGAACTCGGAAAAAAATAAAATTCCGTTTTATTATGCAAAACAGTCGTTTTTGGGTCAAATGCAACTCTAGATTATTTCATCCTATTTATTCTATCTTACCGATTACTTTCATATTTTGAATTTATTTTTTCAATCTCATCAGTTTCAATTTTTTAAACCATTACTCTTAGAGAGACTAAACATAAGGAGTTGAGCGTCGCATCAGATTCGACCATGTTCTGTATCCTTACTGCAAAATTCTTATTTTACGAGCCTTTCTTCACTAGGTTTGTCTTATCTTTCGAATTTAAGCATATTTGGCTGATTTTTCAGAATTCAAAAATTTTTAAGTGACAAAACCACTTGGTTTATTCTAAAAGAGGCTTAACATTACGTGGGATGCCAAAATATAGACAGGCAAAAAAACTGGAAAAAAGATGCTCGATAGAGCTTCAAAAAGACTTTTACCTTCAGCTAAGACGATCCTACAGAGCAGCACACTGACAATTACAAACTTAACGATCCAGGTCATTTTAGACGAAACCATTTGCGTCTGATCTATGATGCACAGGAACTACAACGGGGACGGTCAATGGGCCGGGAACGGAACGATCACTGCACGAGCCCTATCAAAACTGCACACACTGACGTTTTCCACTATCGACAGATCGACTCCAGCCAAGTACTTGCTCAACAATTAAAGTGCGCAAAAACGTGATCGCAAAGAAGCTTAGAATTGCCAAAGTGACCATTGTGTGCAACCGGGAGAAGACCGGGTTCACATCAAAATGGTCAGGGCACTGGGCTTTCTTTGACGCACTCTCTCGATAAAACTAATTGGAGTAAAACATTATAAGAAGAAGAAAAAAACACAATATAAAATTCTTCTCTTTGCGGAGAGTAAAGATTTTTAAAAAAACACGTCTACGGTAAAGCTGCAAAAGCACGTAGTTCGTTTGCGGTGTTTCGAGATTTACGCTCCTGCTTTATTTCATTTTATTTATTTTTTTTTCAGAAGAACAAACCTACACTATGGCTTGAAATTTCCACGGAATTTTCTTCGCACAGAAAGAGGAACCACGGAAGTTTTAAGGAGATAGCGTCAAGCAGTTTCCTTTTCAAAAAATAAAGCGTGGTCCAAATAAAAAATAATCGCAGCAGAGAGCTGTTCATGCAGAAATCGATGGATTTTTTTAAATACTCGATCATTTTTTTCCCCCAGGAGAAAGTTTATATTATAAAGTTTCAAAGCTCGACTACGGATATTTATCCGAAAGTTTTTTCGGCATTTTGTATGCACGAGGGCCAATTGGGAGCCGACAGATCTGCTTTTCGCTTCGATGAAAGCGGACGCTCAAGTTTTAAAAAACTTAACGAATCGAGAAACCAAGTCGAAACTCATCGGCATGAAACTTCGTCCGTGTATTCCGACAGACTTAAGATAAATGCTTGCCTAAGGCATTCTGGGTGAGTACATTCATGGAAATCAGGACGGAGTCCGAGGTGGCTCCCAAATTACTAATGTAGGACGGAAATGTCTGAAAAGAATCACCCGCATTAATTTACTAATTCGTTCAATTAATCGTACACTTTTTACTGCTGGGTAAAAATCTACCAGGCACGGCAATAAAATGTGCAGGCCCTCCCTCGAAAGCCACCTCATGAAATTAAAAATGGAGCCCGCGGGTCATGAGAGAAACATCAAACGGAGCAACAACTGCAATATAAAATGAATAATAATTATTATTGCTTTGATCGTAGGCGGATGCGGCCGCACGGACATTTCAAACGAATCAAGTCGAGGAAAAGAGAAGAGACGGAGCAGGTAAAAGAATGGGATTCACGTGCGAAAGAGGAGCCGAGAATGAATAATTGGCTATCGATTCATACCCATTTAAAGCTATACCGAAGAATCGATCGTTAAGGTGCACTGGGAAAAAAAAAAAAAAGAAAAAAAAACCACATTGTATCTAGAGTCCAGACTCTTGAAAACATTGACAAGAGAAATACTCTTGATTCAATCGGATTTTTGCTTGAATCAAAACGAAATCCGCTTAAACTAAGAGGCTTGGTTCTTGATTTAAGCTAGATTCTGATTGAATCAAGAGTACTTTTCTTGTCGATGTTTTTAGGAGTCTGCACTCTAGATCCAAAGTGTTTTTTTTTTCCAGTATGGACCCTATGTATTGACATTTTTTAATAGGTTTTAATGGAAGATCGATCGATTCATTTCAAAGCACGAGACGCCGCTGAGGGCCGGTAGTTATAGTCGCTCCTTTTCTGCCATGCTAAGGAAGAGCGCCGTATGAACATTCGAAAGTTGCCCAATTTCCTCCAATAAAATGTTCATTTTCGAGGAAAGCTATGAATATTTTTCCTTGAAATTTTCAGGAACTTTAGGTGAAATTGCGAACAAAATTATCGGAGAAATTTGCAGAAAAATATTCAAAAATTTTCCTGAAAATGAGTGATTCGCCAGAGGCAATTTGGCAACGCCTGAAGGTTCATACGGCGTTCTTCCTTAGAACGGCAGTTTTCTTGTAAGGTTCCAAGTAGTTTGCATTATGATCGAAGGAGATTCAACAAAGGAGATCCTTAACATAACGCCGCAAAAAGGATATTTTAAGGATTATTGAGTGAAATTCAACAAAAAAACTTCCCCTGCAAGACCCCTGCAAAGGATTTACAATGATTTGTTACTGCAAAAATGAAATAAAAAATATGGGCGAAAAATGTTTACGATTTTGATAAAATTTCAGATAGACATGGACCTACCATAGAATTTTCAAAACCTGTAAAATTATCTCTTTTGTTTCTTTAATTTTTAGTACAGGCAAATCATTGTGTCCCTTGGTGCGGATTCACTTTCGAGTAAATTCTTCAAAACTCGTTAAAATTGCCTTTAAATGCTGCTTCGTTACGAGTCTCTTTAAACTTTCCTTAATCACGATCCAAGGTCTCTTAAGGAGAGGAGCTGTCCAAAGGACGAATACGAACACGACTCTGGGCCATGAAAATATCTCGAGACGACGATGACGCTAAGACGCACTGTGGATCGAGCCGATGAGAGAGGTCGGAAAAAATTTGGAAACTTTAAAAGCTAATAACACCGTTAAATCAAAACTTTGAGATTTTGAAAGTGCTTCCATAGGTTACCTCATGAAATTTTCTTCATAAAGTACACCTTAAAAATTAAAATGTGACGAATTAAACATCAAAATTTGCAGTTTTAGTAAAAAATTTCATGTCCGACTTTCCTAATTGACTCTTTCCACTGTGTGACGGCGCGGCGGCATCTTTCGCGGGGCAATTTCATTAGACAAGCTTGCAAATTAACCTTTGTGGGGCACAAGACACAGGAACAGGACATAAGCGCGCAGCGTGAAAATTATCCGGCTAGAGCACTTCAGCATATTGTAGCCAGATCTGAGAAGTAAAGCCGCAACTTTTATGAGGATATTCAGGGAGATTTCGACAGGGGCCTCTTTTGCTCCCCCTCACGCGATACTATTTGCAATTACACGTGGTGTTATGACCAGGTCGCAGTGCAACGCAGCGCGCTTTCGTGTCATCGGCCGGCGCGGCGCAGCGCCCGACATTCGTCACGACAAATGTCTTTATGGCTGCCAAATTTCATCCATAAGCGAATTTCCGCGAAAGGATTTGATTAAGTTAATGACTAACTGCCAACCTCCGTTACAACAAAACGAAAATACCACTGGGCGACTGTTGTCTACAACATTAGGTTTTCATGCTGGTATGCAATGCAGTGGCGTGGCGTGCTTTTCGATTGTTATGCCATTTAAACCTGTGGAAAAGGATCGATAGACAGGGTAATCGCAGTGAACACCTTAATAGTCGATTTTTTACCACAGATTTAGATAGCATAACAATCGATACATCGCATTTCACACCACACCACTGATGCAATGACTACCGCATCCATAATCGCGCACCCACCTAAAGGTGAATTTTAATTACAGAACGCTAATTATACACCTTTTGAATAAAATTAAGAAAATTGCGACGCGTCCATCGTCTTTTACGTAAAATTTTAGTACTTTACTTCCTGCCCTGTCTGGCGGTTGATGAAGAGTCAACATTTTTAATCATTTACAGCTCTATAATTTTTGGTGTTGTGCAGGAAGTCATTTCTTTTGGAAAAAGAGGGAACGCTTGATAAAGCGAAAAATCAGTGTATAAATGAATGCATGATGATTATACCTCACCGAATGCAAAACTCCAGTAGGTGACGGTAAATTAAGTTCGGTCAGTTTTCTTACCTGCAACAGACGAGAAAAAAATCATGAGTAACGTTGAATGGAGAGGACGTGCATGAATAAAAGAATGAGTAAATAAATCATGGTAGTAGTACACAGAATTCCTCGGCATTTAAAGCAACAAAGGTCATGTAAAACAGGCATATTGAGAGAAAAAAAGAAAAAGAATAGTTGAAAATTAAGGGTTGAAATGGAAGTGACGTTTTCAATATCAACGATTGAAATACACGAAAAGAAACTTGTTATAGGGAGCTGAGCATGCGTCGATAAAGCATACGACAGATTTGGTTTCCGTTGCAACCACCCGCTTCCAACAATAGGAAGGCTCGATTTCCTCTTTGACTCCTTTGTCTAACGTTTTCTACAAACATTATAATAATCAGCCCGCAGCAATGTCGTGCAAAGGAAAAACGCCGTATGAGCATTCGGGTGTTGCAAAATTACTTCTCGGAAACTATTTAGTTTTGAAGAATACGTCTAGAATATGTATCCTCGAAATAATCAAAAACTGTAGGAATGCGAAGAAAATTCCCTAAAAATTCGGAAGAAAAATATTTGCAAACTTTCCCGGATTTTTTTTTTTCGTAGAAGGAGATTTGGCAACGTCTGAGGGCTCATACGGCGTTGTTGCTCAGCGCGGCAGGGCATGGATCAGCGTTTTTTCAATGTTGCCAGGGGCCAGGGTCTCTTCGAGAGTGGAGGTGGCCGGCGTCTAATCGTAAGTTACGAAATAGGTTTTCCACCGGGACACGGATAAAAGACAGCGCGGAGCAACGTCATTGACAATAATGTGCGCGACAGATTCGGCTGCGGATCGATGACTCGGAAGAAATCCAACATCATCATGACAGGGCGACACGTTCGTCGTTCGCGCCCAACTGCCGATGTAGAGCCTTCAAATTGATACGAATTACTGAGAAAGGAACATTGCTCATTCGATTTGACAATGCCGTCGGTCATCGGTTCCCATTAGCCCGGCTGGAGTTCTAATGCAATTGGTCCTCGTCTGGGACCACTGGATCATCGTTGCCATGCCAACGCTCCAGTCGAGGCATTTCAGCTAACCTTAAGAGTTATACTGAGCTTGGAACGAGACCAGTTTCATGCAAGCTTTGCACGAATATCGATGGACACCCCGTTTACTCATTGGCCAACGGTGCAAATTTGGGTCAAAGAAGTACCATTTAGAAGACCTCGGTCGAATCGTTTGCGACGGCTTTACCGGGGGGCAGGCTGGCTCCAAATTTTCCAGGGGACGGGCCCTGTTGAAGAGAGGGTTGGGACTCCTCCAGAGAAGACATAGCCCTATCTAAACCATTCAAGATATCGCAGTTCGTGTCTCAACGGGCTACTTCAACATTCAATAATCGAGACTCGTAGATTTTAAGGGGGTGAAGGCTTGAAGTTGACGTTGCACCATTGTTGCCTGCAGATTTAGTTCAAATGCGCATACTTTACTGACTCAGTTCAGAAATAACATAAGGACG